CTTTCCTGAGAAACAAAATCAAGTTTCTGCAGAGCGTCTTAGGTACCTCAAGATCCACTTCACTGCTTCCCAATGTTTCTTTCCAAGATTACTCATGTATCTGCTAACGACTCCCACTGCATGGGAATTATCTGGTCTAGTGCAAACCATAACATACATAAGTGAACCAATAGCTGAAGCATAAGGAACCTTACTCATGTGATATTGTTCCTCCTCTGACTTGGGTGGTTGATTCTTGTTGAGTCTGAAGTGACTTCCTGAGGGTGTGCCAACTGGTTTGGCCTTATCCATGTTGAACCTGCTAAGTACCTTTTTCACATACTCAGCCTGAGAGAGTCTTAACATGTCTCTGACTCTATCTCTGACAATTCTCATACCAAGGATTTGTTTTGCAGCTCCCAAATCCTTCATTGCAAAGTGCTCTGACATCTTCTCTTTCAAATTATTGATCTTCTCAATACTAGCACCTGCAATAAACATATCATTCAAATACAACAGTAGGATGATATAAGAATTGTCGAAATATCGGACATATCAACAGTGATCTGCCTGACATCTGCTATACCCTGCACTGTGCATGAAATTATCAAATTTCTTGTACCACTGTCTAGAAGCTTGCTTCAAACCATACAAGCTCTTCTTCAATCTGCAAATTGACTCTTCCTTTCTTTGCACCACGAACCCTTCAGGTTGGTGCATGTATTGTAGATGTCTTATTCAAGATTCCCATGAAGAAAAGTTGTCTTCATATATAACTGCTCAAGGAAGAGATCTTCAGTAGCCACCATAAAGAATACAATTTTGATGGTTGTAAGCTTACCACAAGAGAGAAATCTTGAAATAATAAATATCGTGCTTCTGCTGACAATTCTAGCCTTGTACCTCTTACTGTTATCATGCTCAGTCTTCACCGGGTACACCCACTTGTTGTGTAATGCCTTCTTCCCAGGGGGAAGGTCTGGCAATGGAAGATCTGCAAACTCCCAAGTCTAATTTTCTAGTAGATAATCAATCTCCTCCTTCATGACAAGCTCCCACTTGCTTGAATTTTCATCTTGTAAGGTTTTTTCATAACTTTGAGGTTCTCCGCCATATGTCAGCAAAATATAATTCAAAGTTGAAGAATAACGCTGTGGAGAACGTTTATCCCTTTCTGACTTGTGAACTGCAACTGTAGGGGTAGACTGCTAAAAAATTGACTGTGGAACGATAGGAGTGGATGCCCCGAATTCACTCTCCTTGTCACCTGCATCTCTACCCTGCACTGTCACCTTTGGTAAATCTTTAAATCTTACCAACTCAGATTTCTTCAGTGTTGTTTCAGAAACTGTACTAAACTTGTCCATGTACATAACATTTTCATTGAAAATCACGTTCATGCTCCTTATGATCTTTCGACCCTGATCATCCCAGAAACGATATCCAAATGCCTCATCTCCATAGCCAATGAAATAACACTTCTTTGACTTAGCCTCAAGCTTACTTGGAGCATCAGGATTAATGAGAATATAAGAATGACAACCAAAAGTCTTAAGGTGAGAAATTTTACCTCTTTCCCACTCCAGACATCTTCAGGTAATTCACAGTTTAATGGAACAGATGACCCTCTATTGATCAAATAAACTGCAGTGTTGACCGCTTCTGCCCAAAAAGTAGGTGGTAGTCTGGCGTACAATTTTATGCTTTTAGCTCGCTTATTAATGGTTTTGTTCATGCGCTCTGCAACACCATTTTGTTGTGGTGTAATGAGAGTGGTCTTCTTCATTCTGATTTCTTGAGCTGCACAGTACTCCTTGAACCCACCATCAATGTACTCATCACCATTATCAAACCTCATATATTTTTGCTTTAAGCATGTCTCCGTCTCAACCATGGCCTTCCAAGTCCTGAACATACTGAATACATCAGATTTAACCCATATCTATTATGATCATCAATGAATGTGATGTAGTAACGAGAGCCTCCAAGAGATGCCACTGGAGAAGGTCTCCACACATTTGTGTGTACAAGATCCAGTTTTCTTGCCTTTGGCGTCCTGCCACCTTTCAAGAAATTGACCTTCTTCTGTTTCCTCATAATGCAACTCTCACAGATGACGAGATCAACTTACTTCAGTTCTGGTAGCTTACCTCTGGACCGAAGTTTTTTCATACTTCACTGACTCATGTGGCAAAGTCTGCAATGCCACAACTCTGTTGTGCTCTCTATAACAGTAGTATCAACAATGTTAATTAAATTAGTAGTCATATATAGCGTACATGTTTTCTTACCCCGAGGCAGTACTAGTGCTCCTTTAGTAACCTTCCGGGTGCTGTCTGAGAACTCTATTAAATGTCCACACTCATCAAGCTACCCAACAGAAATGAGATTCTTCTTCAGTTCAAGAATGTTTCTGACCTTTTGTGGAGTCCACTTACTCTTATTTGGAAGTGCAATGTCAATATCTCCCATTCCTACCACGTTCAAAGTTTCTCCATCTTCCAGATATACTTTCCCAAAATCATCTGCAACATAATTCCATATCAATTCCCGATGAAAAGTTGTATGGAAAGAAGCTCTAGAATCCAGTATCCAGTCATCAACAGAACTATGGACTGCCAGCAGTAGTGCATCCTGATTCTTCAGTTACCACATTTGCACTATCATTCTCCGTCTTCTAGGATTCCTGCAGTTCCTCTTTATGTGGCCATTTTTGCCACAAAGTCCAGCAAGTTACTTGTTTACCAGACATTGACTTGCTCCTGCTTCTGTTCTTTAACTTTGATTTTCCCTTGTTTGAGTTTCTGTCATGTGATCTCCCTCTAGAATCAACATTTACCGTCAAACTCGAACCTGAGATCTCACCAGAATATTTCCTGCGCAACTACTCAGCCAAAATCAAATCACGAATATCTTTAAATTTTAATTTTGATTTACCTACATAATTACTAACAACCATCCTCATAGCTTCCTAACTATTTGACAATGAGACTAATAAGATCAGTGCATGTATCTTATCATCAAATTTAATTTCCACAGACGATAATTGATTTGTGATAATATTGAAATCATTCAGGTGTTGTACAATAGACGTACCTTCCACCATCTTCAAACCATCTTCAAATTGAATAACTCAAATTGAATAACTTCTTCATCAAATATACAATGTTATACGCCGATGGCTTTTCATAAATACCTATCTTCTTCTTCCTTCTGCCCAACACGAGAAGAATCTTTCAAGAACTGAAGGAGGCGTGGGCGGAGACGGGAGAGGAGTTCCTGTTTCGCGAACAAAGGAGACAAAACGGGGAGGGCTTTTTTCATGAACGAGGGAGGAGCATGAGGTTTCACGCACACAAACGGAATGGGAGGTAATCACAAATAGAAGAAGCGTAGGAGAAAATTGGGGGGAGGGGGGCAATTATGGTAAGTTTGTTTTTTTTTTCTAAGGGGCTCCACTTCAACAGACTTCCAATAAATATGTCGCCGCGTGGAAGTTATTGAGAGATTACTGAAGTGAAACTGCTGAGTTTATTGAGAGGTTATTTGGGTGTTATTATGAAGTTATTGCAGGGGTTATTTAGGGGGGCGAAGTTTATTGATGTGTTATTATGAGGTTATTACAGAGTATAACAGTGAAAGTTATTAAGAGTTTATTGAGACTAAGGGTCCATTTAGGGCAGCTTATAAGTATGACAAAGTTTTTGAAAACGCCGCCGCACCTTTTATTTTGCACCTTTAGGGCGATTATCAGAAAACTACTTCTCTAAATTACCGAATACGCGATCGCGGGTATAACCCGGCGATCAACGTTCCAAACGTCCTCCACACAAATCTTTACCCACCTACCCCTCTCGCGACCGAGAAATTATTGCATACGGACACCTCATGCATCTCTGCATGCGGTGTCCGATCCTGACCGTAGATCACAGTGATCTACGGTCAGGATATATTTAAGTTTTTTTTTTAAGAAATTTTTTGGTGGGACCCATCAAAATACATCCTGACCGTAGATCATCTGATTTACGATCAGGATCGGACACCGCATGCAAGATGCATGCGGTGTCACTTCTGCTTTGCGTATGGAATAATTTTTCCTCGCGACCCTCTGTGTTCCCTAAGCGCAACGATTCTGCTCCTCCCTCAGCACTTCCTAATCGCCCGAGAGTGGTAAAAAATCTCGATCCTCTCTTCTCAACTTCGAAAAATTATTCCATACGGACGGACACCGCATGCATCTATGCGGTGTCCCTTGTGTTTATGCGCTTTGTAAGGTTGATGAACTTTATTTCCTTCGTCATTCTTAAGCACTTACATGCATAACACCTAAATTTAAATACATATTTTCAAAATTTATTATTTATGTGTTTTTGTGTATGTACCAATTTCTGTAACCATTTATATTCATATATTAAATTCGTATACTTCAGCAAGTTCTCATTTTTGTTTACATATCTAACACTTCAGTAACACCCCTATAGCGATAGTTAGGAAATTTAACATATTTTCTCAGCTATGTCTTCAGCCATTTCTTAATAATAGTTGGTCTGTATGATTTCAATTCGAAAATTTATAGTTTTGCTGATTTGAGATTTTCATGTCATGTGTTTTACATCACTTGGAACTTTGGAAATCATTGATTTGGTTCGAAACCTTATATTTATGCGTTCTGTAAAATTTTCATGTCATGTGCTTTACATCAAGTTATTGGATTTTTAATGTGAAATTATTGTAGTATTATTGGATTTTTTATGCTCATGCTATTAAATGCATTCTTTTCTTATTTAATCTTTCACTAGTAAGTACTGCAATGAATAAGAACAAAGAAGTTGGATCATCTGCCATGTGGGACAGGGAAGCAACAAATATTTTTAACAAATATTTTATGTGATATCTGTCTTAAGGAGGTGGAGTTAAGAAATACACCTATAATATTTTTTAATAAATAAGATTGACAGAATTTTATTGTCAAATCGAAGGAATTGATAGGAAGATAAATATTGTTAGAAAAAACCCAGTAACCTCCGATTACACTCAAAAACTTCCATGATTTCACTTGGGAAAACACCGTATTTAATAATTTCTCCTTTTTCTCTCTTCGATTCAATCCCTTCTCCCAGCTCCAGTTTCCGCACGCACAAGCCAGATTCGTTTCCCCTTCCTTTCTCCCTTTGAGGTCGCCAACCGCTCTCCTCTAGTATTCAGCCGCTCTCCTTTAGTATTCAGGTGCACTCAGAGGCTCGAATCCCTCTTCTGGTTCCCGCACGCACACAGAACTGTGGCCATCCACATCAACAGCTAGCTGAAATTCTTGTGCAGCCAAACTAATGCTTTTCTACCTCTAGCCGGTCTCCATCAACAGTACATGCTGCAGCAACATCAACCTAACAGCCGTGAAATCCAACCTGCTGGAAGCCTCTGTTTCAAACACATGCAGGTACACACACATCTGCTCTCCTTGAAACACTTCTAACACTTTGATCTCCACCGACAGAAGAAATTAGCAACATAGAAATGGAAGGTATGTGACTGCCTGTTGTCTCAGTGGTGATAGCCCCAATTTTTAGTCTTCATAATGTGTTATCTTGCTGGGATATCATTATTGGCAGAAAATATTTTCTTCTTGTTTGATTTCTTTGCTTTCTACTATTTTTCTCGAGAGTATGATGGTTAAAAAAGAATGTCAAAATCACAATCTGGACAATGAAACGCCGTCTATCATACATGATTAGCGCTAGCTATTTATTATGCAGATTGTTTATGTTAGAAAGCGACATTGCTGAATTAGAAAGATCCACTGATCAAACATTTTATTTTAAAATTGATTTCTTGGACCTTGATTTGTTTGTGGACTCGCATCTCCAAGAGAAGAACTAGAAAGGACGATAAACTATAGAGAACAGAGAGAAATTTAGGAGAAATGAGTGCCCTTATTGTTTGAGAAACATACCCTCTCCTTAATCTGTAGTTTTTATTTTTATTTATTTATTTTTGAGTAAGTATGAGCTAGTTTATATGACATTTATTTTTAGTAAGTGATTTTTGAGTAAGAATGTTATTAAATTATATTATAACGCCTCTTCTTGGTACCTGTACTCCACTGTTCGGCCTTGAAGTGAGTTGGTCGAGTAGCGCTGGTAGTATTCTGGAAGATCTGTATGGATGGGCATTTTAGTTGAGCTACCGTGCGAGAAAGGCTGACCGACTTGTTTCATGGCTCAAACCCAATCTCGTGGCTTTGGCTTTAGAAATTTAGCTCACCAATTTTTTTATCTCTTTGCTAGTTAATATGTGAAAAGAACAATATAGAATGATAATTTTTATTTAGTCTAATGAAATATATATGAATGAAATTTTTTGACGACTTAATGATTCTCTCGAGGTTCGTGCCCTTCACTATTTTTAAATAAAAAGGAAGGGCACTTAACCATTCTTGTCAGAATTCCTTTAAATTTCTTTCATTTATTTATCAGTCCTGTCTTTGTATATTGTATTAAAAATTATCTAAATTTATTAGAATTAAATGAAAATATGACACTTAGTAGGACACAGTGGAGAAAAAGGATTGATGTAGCTGACCCCACTTAGTGGGATAAAGGCTTTTTTTTGTTGTTGTTCTTGTTCATCAATTCTATCCTTCTTGCTCGAAGAATAGAAAACATCTTGGAGGAAAATGTCTCGATTCCAAAGATTGATCTTCTAGAAGGGTTATTTATGAAGCAAAAAAGGAAACATGGATCTAATAAGTGGACAAAAATGGCTAAGGTTGTAGAAAAAATTGTGATTTCTCAAGTGGGTGTTCTTTAATGACTCCTGTTATCGATCTCTTGATCCTTATGGAAGTTTTGTATGTGACAGATTTGATGGTTGCTAAAGAAGCTTTGAATTTGAATATGAAGACAAATACGTTCAGGGAAACAAGTAGCCCATCTAATTCTACTTAGATAGAGTCAGTGTCAGAAGGTAGAAGCAATAATCACATTCATAAAGATTGTTCTTAGATAGTTTTAATGAGTTTGAATTGGTTTTATAGTTTAATTTACGCTTAATGAACTTTTGGGAGAAAATTGCCTGGTCAGCCATCATGACTGAATGGATCACACGGGCAAATTAAACCCATATGAGACATTCATTTTTTCAAAGTTCTACTCTACTAGGTTTGACTCTAGCTCGAAGGTTCGAAATTTCGTGACTTTAAAGTTTCTAATCTTAATTTTCGCAAAAAGTAAAACCTATAACTAGTTTTGAGTTTAAACAAGTGATAGAAAATATCCCTTGAATTAGTCATATGTAAATCAGATCTAAGTGACTCTAATGAAGTTGACAATCAAGAATAATAGTTTTTCTTAGTTTCTCTCAGTGGCCATGAGAAAATTCTCCTAATCATGCAAAAATTTCAGTGTTAGCAAATTTTTCTACACGATTGCACAATCCTAACAACAATGTATCTCTTCTCCTATAGTAGTATAAGTTAATCTAATTGCTCCACAAACATACTCCTGTAGTACTAGAGTGCAACCCATTTTAACATCCTATATGATCAGTTTATTTGTAAATTAGATGCAAAAGGTTAAAATATTAACTGAAAATTCACGTTACACTCAATCAAATAACATAAATGATACTAATTTGCATATAATCCATTCCAAGGGAGAGAAAAGTTTAAGTTCTACTCATTAAGGATGAAAACAACACACATTTCATTGTGAAATTTAAAGTAAATAAAGTTAGAATGATTTCATTGATGTTGTTTACGAATTACACGAACTTATAATATTATCTCTGAATTTTCACTCACTTTGCGTACAATCACACACTTATTCTCTCTCAGGAGAACTCACACACACTCTCACACTCTCTTCTAGGGATATATCTCTTCGTCGAAGCATGTTGACGACAACAAACATTCTATTATACTCCCTCCTGGTGTCTGTCTTCTTCCTCCGGTGTCACTCTAAGGGTCGAGCATTTCAAAGAGATGTAAAAAATAGGCCATTTGACTTTGAAATTACTTCTTTTGTAGCTACGGACCGCCACACAATTTCACCACGTCAACTAGAATCGTCGTCACTCTCGATTCGGTTCGTTGGTGCTAGAATTCTTCAATGAGTTTTGGAGTCTTGTTCTTTTTGTTTCTATAAATTTTCATGCATGTAGGTGTGCTTATGTGCCACAAAAAGTGATGTAGCCAAGGCATGTGTAAGGCACATAAAGTGTACAACATCTAGCACAAGCAAGTGAACTATAGCCTTAATTCTAAAAAGAAACTAAAAGGTGTTGCCACACCTTCTTCAGGCAACACCTTGGTGCTTGGGTTTTGGTTGCTTGGTTGGATGGCTTTGTGCGTGCCTGGGAGTGTTGTGGGTCTAAAATTCATGAAATTATTATCTCACACATAAAATTTGGTTAGCCACACATAAACAATACTAATTTCGTTATTATTTTATTAAATACAAAATTTCAATGTTATGTTAGTGAAGCTTTAATCCTTCGACTTATTAGAAGGTTTATAAGTACTGATTTTTGAAATGAGTTTAATCTCAAGCTTCTCCTTCTAGGCTCCTAAATTTTCTTCTTTGTAAGCATGAACCTTTTTTATTTTTCTTTTAATTTTTTTAAGAAGGATTATTATATCTAATTAATATTTTTTTAATGATTTTGAATACTGACTTTATCCTAAATCGAATTTCATCTATTTTATAAATTTTTAAAAATTTGTAATTTAAGTGATATTAACTCAAAATTAAAACCTTTTAATTGAGTAGTGACTAAATTTTATATTGCCTAGATATTAATTTTATAAAACTCATTGCTAAATTTCAAAGAGTAGTAGTGAGTCACTAATATTATTCATACCCTTCAAAAATCATTGTTACTCTAGTTTAATGTGTCGACTAATATTAAGCTTCACATCTATTTTTATTTGCCGCTACTATTTATTGTATAAATTATAAGATTAAATTTTTACTTGAACTTAAAAAGCAATATAAACACAACTACTCCCCCATATATGCAAATACAATAAAATAGGGATGAGCATAGTAAGGTAGAACATGAACTCACAATAAAAGGAAATCACACTACAAACTATATCACATAACAATTGTGAAAACATAACATCAACAAATATAAATATGTAGGTACAAATTAAAGATCTAATTCACAAACAAGTCAAATTTTAATCATCAAACTTCAAGACTGTGTGAGATGTATCGATTGTTCTAGAGATCCCAACATGATAAAATCATACTTTGTTGAAGTCCCCGAGTCCTCCATATGTAGGTTCCTCTCTCGGCCTCCTCTGATATTAAATGCTGAAGCGGCGTGATTTGTATTCCTCTTCGCTGATGTCTTCCCTGTTGAATGAATTTAGATCCTCCTCCCCACTCCCTCGACTCTCCAGATTACGGTCGAGGGTAACTTCCCCTTTGGTTCCATCATTAATTTCTCTGAGCCTCTGTTGAAGCCGACGGATCTCTCTATGTAGGGTTTGGGTTTGGAAGGGGTGGTTGAGGATAGAAAGGAAAAAAAATTCTGTTGAAGGGGAATGTCGGATGATAGGAAACCCTAGGATAGGACTAGAGTTAAGCTATCTCTGATACCAAATGATACCGTAATAATCCAAAAATAAGCAAATACGATTATTATTGCTGGAACTTAGAAAGAAACACAACAAGGATTTATAAAACTGGAAGTAAAGTGTCAACTACAAACGGGGCCTTTGTCGAGGGCGATGGTGTGACTTCTGGCTGGCCAATAGTTGTGGGAATGGTTTGTGGTGCTATGGCTGCAATTAGATGAAGTTTAGGTAAGAGGCGGCAATAGGGAAGGAGTAGGAGTAGGAGTTTGGTGGCAACAAAAAAGGTGCGGGATGACCTTGGGGGTTATATACGAGTTGCTAGTAGGTTTTGACGACAGCTGGAGGAAGTACTGGGAGTTTGGGTAACAACTATGAAGAAGCAGGGAGGTCGGTGCGATAACAACGAAAAAGCAAGAGTGTAGGAAAGCTACAGGAAGGGTGTAGGGCAACAGGAAGGATTAAGGGATGCTGAGCGACGACTGGAAGGGTGCGAGAGAGACTGGTCGGCGACAAGAAGGATGCAAGGAGAATGGGCGACAACATGGAGGGTGCAGGGATGCTAGATGGCAGCTGGGAAGGTGCCAGACGCCGGACAACGAGAGATTGACGAGAGAACCATCAACTTGGAGTAGGATACAGCCGGAGCACCACCCGTCCTCGGATACAACCCTAACAAGGGAAGAGATGTCTGACAACACAGGCTTTGAAATCAGGAAACACAAAACTGAACCCTAAAGTATTCAAACAACACATATATAGAGCAAAAGAAAATATAATATGTGGGGGAAAGGGGGCGGTAGTTCCCTCCCTTGGAATTGTCGAGCGGTCTAGCATGGATGGAATGAGCCTTTGCTGAACAGTATGTCCTCACAAGCATGTTCCCTGCCGTCACACACCCCTGCCCTCCACCCTTTCCCAACCTCCCCTCATTGCTTCCCGCTCCTTTCCTTCGCTTCCGTCACCCGAAACTGCTAAAAATCACTATTTTCCTGCATTATTTAGCCTTCCCAGTCACCTTCTCCTCTCCCAAACTTGTTGCCACTCCAAAAATCCACCCCACTGCTGTCCTCTCTCATTCCAGCATCCCGGGACAGCTTATTCTTGTTGGTTCCTGCAGGTTATAGCAATTCCCCGTGCGCTGCTGCCCAGGACAACAAGCTGACATTGCCTTTCCACAATTTTCCCACAGCCCCGCAGCTTTCCGACCTTGTCGTCACCTTCCGAATCCTTAATGGTCACGACCACCACTCAAGTTCCAGTCTAGTTGAGTGTTTGTGTCTTTGTTATTGCTATTTTAGATTTTCAGGTGTCTAGTTGCTCTATTTTTCCTTTCAAGTGTGTTGGTTGTAACCGCCTATTTGCTTTCAGTATTAATATTTACTTTTCTTATTGTGGTTTGGGTTAACTCGGGTATCATGAGGTGATCATTAATCATAATTAAATAAGATATTATGTAAGTCTTAGTTATAAGATGCAATAACCATATACTCTCACAACAACAACAACAACAACAACAACAACAACAAAGCCTTAATCCCACTACGTGAGGTCGGCTACATGAATCATTTTTTTCCACTGCGTCTTATTTAGTGTCATATTTTTATTTAGTTCTAGTAAATTAAGATCATTTTTAATACAATAAACCCAAGTCTTCCTAGGTCTACCTCTGCCTTTCTTAACACAAATCGAATCTAAAACATCTACTCTCCTAATCGGATCATCAGATGGTCGACGTTTAATGTGACCAAACCATCTAAGACGACTTTCTCTAATTTT